GAAACATATCAGCTGACAACTACGATAAATATTGTTCAGTATATGAAACTGTTCTAAAAAAATAACCTAACATAACTAACCAAACTTGCTGTAACATTTAAAAGTTCCGTGTTTAACTTGCCTTTTTTATTATCAAACCCAAACGGAATTTTTAAATGGTAAAGCAAGTTTGGTTGGTTATGTTAAGTTAGCTTAGAACAGTTTCATTTTTTAATCCATATATTAGACTATTTTAGCCTAAACAAGATCAGTTAGTTATTGTTGTCAATTTGTAATGGATCGGATCGGAAAACAAAAATATCGATATATCGAAACAAAATCATCGATAATAATGAATGTTCCCTTTAACAGGAAAGTACCAAATTTGTTTTCAATGTAATTCTTATGGGGGAAATGCGACCTTTGAGAGCGTCTCGTGCCCTTAAGAGCAATGGCAGAATGCCTAACAGAAAAATCGAAGAAACCTTTTTGTGCGACGTTAAGGGCCAGCAGCATGTGTCTAAGGAGGACAAGGAAGAAGTGGAGGACTCTTAGAGAGTTTGAAGATGGGACTGGAGTACCAGTTATTTATTTATTTAAATAGCAAATGTTTTATTATTTTTCCATATCAAAATTGTGAATTATATTATTTAGTATAAAAAAAAAAATTTACAGATGACTTAAATTAATTGATATATTTACATTCTTTCAAAATGTAAACATGGAAAATTTGGAAGGCCATGGGGCGTAGCCAAGGGAAATGTGAAAATTAAATGATATAATATTGCATTGCCATCCATTTGGGAGCTATGTTTCAAGTTTCAAGTCTCTAGCTCATCGGGAACTTTGTTTAAAATTGATATCAAAATTTGTAGGAAAGCGACTAGCGAGCTAATAAAAACAAGCCCATGGGGCGTAGCACAAGGGAAATATGAAAATTAAATGATATAGGTAATATTGCATTGTCATCCATTTGTGAGCTATGTTTCAAGTTTCAAGTCTCTAGCTCATCGGGAACTTAGTATAAAATTGATTGCAAAATTTGTACCAGACAAGAAATAAGCGAGCTAATAAAAAACGTTTTAATATATAATTCTGAGCAATTTGCAGACAAAACTCTAATTTTATTTATGAAGATTTATTGTTTTTTTGTTTACTCTATTACTGAATTATTAATTATAATTATGAATCTTTGATTCTCAATTCTCATTACTGTATAGATGATGTTTGCATTACCACAAAGTTATTGGTTTTTGTTCTGTCATACTGTTCAATGCAAACACAAGGTTGCCTGCATATTCCAACCATGGTAAGTGTGTGTAACTTATTCAGTTATGGGCTAGTTTGACTTTGAGTTTGACTAGCCAGAAAACCGGGCTGACACTAACAATGACAGTTTTTTACTTTCCTAACCCTATTTTCACAAGGTCAGTTTGTGTGGTATATTTTCCAGGGCGGCTATTTCAGTGACATCCATATCCATGTTAATCAGACACAATAACAAACACTGAAAATCTTCAAAAATATTGATCAAAATGGTTCCTTGTGCTGGAAATATGTAAACACCTTACCTACTCTATGTTAAAAAAATCTAAAATCGTATAACTCATTGAGCGAAGCTCTTATACGTCGACTCTTATGCATTTCGTAATACGCAATCTCCTCCAAGACGGCTGAAGTAATCATTTTCAAATTTTGCATGGTGATAAAGACCATATATCGGTGAGTGCTAACAACTATATGGTGTTAAAAAAACTCTCTAAGGAATCCCCCCCACTGGCTCTAAAAATTTTTATGTAATCTTTATGGACGCAGTATTTGACACAAAAACAAAGACACAAGATCAGCTGTTGACGTATTAAAGGACTTAACTGAAACGGCTACTTTAAAAAAGGTCGTAGGTAAAAGGAATTACTGTAACTGTTATCACCGATATTAGAACAGAAACGGAATGGTTCATAAACATAAAAAATGACGTCACTAGCTTTTTATTATAATAATAGTTGTTTTATTACAAATCCAGTTATTTTATTATAATAAACCTTTTAATTGGAAGTCAACTATACTTTTTATACTAAATAAATTGTTTTTAATTTAATTCCCTCATCAGTAGATTGAAATATATAAAAATAGTCACACAATGTCCACAAAATGTCAATATCAAGCAGCTGATTCGAATCCTACGTGGTGTTTTCTAGTTATGTTTAATTTTTTTACTCGTATTATGGATACTAGTACCTGGGGACCGAGCTTTGCTCGGGAAAAGTCATTAGTTCACTCTGAAAGCAGTCTTAGTATTGGAGATACATAAATCTATTCCCAAACTCCACACGGCTCGCCTTTACTACGTCCTACACCATTTCCTACGTCTTGGACCTGTTTTCCTCCCTTCCCATAGCATTTTAAGATTGCAGATACCTCAATCTAATCCTCATAGACAGTTCTCACACTCCGGACTACTCGCCTTGACTACTTCCTTCACCACTTCATACGTCACGGACATGTTTCCCTCCATTCCCATAGCATTTTAGGATTGCCCATACCCTTATCTAATCGTCATAAACAGTTCCCACACTCCGGACTGCTCGCCTTTTGACTACTTCATTCATCACTTCCTAAGTCACAGACCTGTTTCCCTCTATTCCCATAGCATTTATGATTGCCTTTACTACTTCCTTCACCACTTCCTACGTCGCGGATCTGTTTCCTTCCCTTCCTATAGCATTTTAAGAATTGCAGATACCTTAAGCTAATCATCATAAACAGTTCCCACACTCCGGACAGCTCGCCTTGACTACTTCCTTCACCACTTCCTACGTCACGGACCTGTTTCCCTCCCTTCCCATAGCATTTTAGGATTGCAAATACCTCAATCTAATCGTCATAAACAGTTCCCACACTCCCGACTGCTCGCCTTGACTACTACCTTCACCACTTCCTACGTCGCGGACCTGTTTCCCTCCCTTCCCATATCATTAACTACTTCCTCACCACTTCCTACGTCGCGGGCCTTTTTCCTTCCCTTCCTATAGCATTTTAAGAATTGCAGATACTTTGATCTAATCGTCATAAACAGATCCCAGACTTCGCACTGCTACCCTTGACTACAATGTATCGAGTAATCTTCAGTATAATCTTTGCTAGATATTAACATGTGATGTTTTACCTTTTGTACTGTATTTGTAATTTGTTGTATACTGTGGGTAGTTGGCTTATTATGATCACATGCTACAATTTCAAGTATGTTGTTTACTTTTTACTTGTTATTTAATTCAGCCAACATGGTTACCTAGCAACCCATAAGACTAATGTTAAAAAAAAATTGATTTTCAGTTGCATTTTTCTACGTAATTAAATTTTTTTTGGCAGTTCTAACTGCAGTAAACTTGTTTTTATGCCAGAAATAAACTATTTACAACATTTGAAGAAAATCGTCGGAGCCGTTTTCGAGATCTTGGTGCAAGCATACATACATACATACATACAAGCAAACCTTGCTCGTATTAGAGTATAGGATAATAAAAAGTGTTCCAATAGTTACATGAATAACGAAACCCGGTTCTTATAAAAAAAAGTTGACCCATAAATTGAACTAGGTATATGTTGCTCGAAATCGAGCAATCGCAAAGAAGTACATAAAGGAGTTATTTAAAAACAAATAACTTGTTTAAGAACAATTAAAATATAAGTTATAATTCCGATGAGTTTAAAAGAGTCAACCCAAAGATTACGTAACTAATAATAATACTCACAATGTACTTACCAGTTCAACATAATCAACATTTCTTGTAAATATTTTATCATGTTTCAAAAGCTGATCTGGCTTTTAGCATGGTGGAAGGAAAAAACATAGGTGTGCTATTCCCGTCATATTCTGACGTCACTTGGATTGCAAACAAAAGATCACCTGATTATAACTGTCAAATTAGTATATGTATTTGTTTTGATTTGGTTGTTATGGTTTTTATAATTTGTGTTTTTATAAAAAAAAACATTAACAATCAAATCAAAACAAATACATACTAATTTGACAGTTACAATCAGGTGATCTTTTGTTTGCAATACAAGGACGGGAATAGCACACCTATGTTTTTTCCTTCCACCATGGGCTTTTAGTGTGTTGTAGAAATGTTTCCCACTTATAGTCGCAATAGGTTCTCCATGTTGGTCTTTGTCAATGATAATGTAGTTTGCGTGGTATCACCCATTGTCGCCAGTACGTTTACAAATTTCAGTCTTTATTTTAATAGCACCAAATAACCATTAACTACCTGATTTTCTGCATAACCTCTCTGTCACAATTTTACAATTAACATATGTTCTTCTTCTCACTTTAAATTTCTGACAACAGCTGGAGTTTCATAACAATGTTTGTTTCCCATGTTAATCTTATGGAGAAATACAAAACTTTAAAGGGCCCCAGGTCCTCACTCTCTAATTATTTCCCTAAAAAGAAAGTTTCTTGCACAACTTCACGTTATGCTCTTTCCAATGACACCAAAAACATGTCAATCGGTTCAGTAATTTCAAAAGTAATTGTCACAAAAAACCTGCTTGCGTATTTAATAAGTATAGATTTAACCCTTAGAGTGCCAGGGTCGAATTTTCGATATTTTGACCAACGAAAATCGATGTATCGCATCTAGTAACTTTCGACTCAATGTTAATATATGGGTTAAAAGAATCCGAGTATCCATTCGGTTGTTATGACAACTGTTCGATCATTACGAAACGTCCGGTCAGCCGGACGATGGCACTTTTGGCTCGTTCTAAAAACGTCCGGTCGGCCGGACGTCGGCACTTTTGGCTCGTTTTAAAAACGTCCGGTTCCCTGGACGTTGGCACTCAAAGGGTTAAAAAAATTAGGTACATCAATCTCCTTAAAACCAAATCACAAATCCTTCAATCACTCAAAAGTCACAATAAATCATTAATAAAAACACAAACATTAGCTGTTATAAACTCTAGAATATTGTTATGCCTTTTTAATAGTGTGTCATCAAAATATATAAAAAACAACATTTCATTTCATATAATTTTATTCATTTCAGTACATCAATACAGGAATAGCGATCTATACTATATAAAGTTGGAAATGATTAATTTACCAAGTATCGAAATATAAGAAGGTTTCTACTGACTTATACAATCCCCGCCCATAGAACAGGCACCCTGCTAGTTAAATATCAAGATATCTCTTGTTACCCAAGACAAGGTAAGTTAGTGAAAGTAATCATTTTAACAAACATAATAAACAGTATTTTTTTTACCAGGCAGAAGTACAAACAAATATTAAAAATGTAAGAAAAAATCTTCATAAAAACAATAAAATTATCTTAATTTAATAATCTAAATGAGAAAAAAATGTAAATACTGATGTTCAAAATAAATGTTAAACTAATCAACATAATGGATCCAAACTGATTTGTCTCCACTTCTTCAGCCTCCTCTCCCCCAACCTCCATGCCTCCATCGCCATCCACCCTGTCATCAGGCCTGGATAGTGGATATAACAGAACAAAAATTAATAATTAAAACAGTATTCTGAACAAAGAGTCTTTTTATGCATACTTCTATCATTATTTAATGTAGGCTACTCAGTGGCGTACTGAGGGGGGGGGGAGGGCGGTTTGCACCAGGCCCCACACCAACATAGGCCTCCAAATCAGGGCCGTATTCCCCTAACAGTGGACACTGCGATTGCCAAGGGCTTCGGCCTGGGAAGGGGACTCACTTGGGGCCTCAAAAGAATGCTTTTTCTCTTGGAAAATAAATTTTCCCACAATCTGTTAGAATTAGGGGGTACAATAATCCAAGTTTGTCTTGTATTCTCATGATAGCCGAAAGCGTCTGCAAAGATTGCGTGATCGAAATTTACGACTACCAGCGATCGCGGGTGACGATAATCAGGCCTCGCAACCGCGAAAGATGTTCACGATTGCACCGAGGATGCCCACAATTTTAACCATTGGCGACCTTGGGAGATGAAGATGATGACCCTGCAATCACGATTTGGTCATTACCGAGGACAATATCGTTTAATTTTGCCACAATTGCAGTAACCGTTTGGATCAATACATAAGTGCCGACCCATATAACCCATTTTGTATAGGACAAAATATAACGTACAGAGTGTGGCAAAATTATCTGACAGTTTTCTTTGCTGCCCTGTCGGGCGAGTGACTGGCGGAAGGTGGTGGGGATAGGGGCGCTTCAAGGCCTACGAGCGGACATTTTTAGTTGCCATGGAGCTGGTCATCACTGAAACAGAAGAGTATTTTGAAGGCTTTTCAAGTTTGTAGGGTACTATTTATTTGGACATAATTTGAACGAGGTTGGAGAAACTTTAAGATAAGTGTATAGAGCTGAATAAAAGGAGATTATAGCAAAATAAATCAAATTTATCACAACAAATTGTGTTATTCTATATTCTTCTAAGGTCTTATTGAACCACGCTTGTACTAAATACCTTATTGATGTATGAGAATTTTTTGTTTCAACTGCTTCTGTTGACAGGGGCTTTTCCATTTGTCTTAAAATTATTGTTGTTTCAGTATTTACCAAATGTAAAAACTATGACATATTCAGAAAAATTATAGTTATGGTGTCAAAAAATATAGCCTACATTTCCTAAAAAACAAAAGCAAATTTTTGGGCACCTCTCGAGTTAAAATGCTGGTTAAATACTAGTAATTCAGGAGGGTTATGCGACATAGGCTTGGGGGCAATGGACTACCTGGTTTTATAAGTATTAAATTTAAGTAAATGGCAAAACTTACCATTAGTTAGTTCTCTTCAATCTTAGTCTTTACTTCGCCCCATCCTCGATCTCCTCTTCCTCTGGCACCTCTCCCCTGTATTCTCCAATGTCGGAGGATATTAATTACAACGCCCCCATTTTACTGGTAGGCTTCAGTTCTGTACAGAAATATTGCAAAAAATAGTGTTATACAAATAATTTTAGTCCAACAAATAATACAAGTGTGTACACTCCTTTCTATATTTGCGATATTCAAATAGGTACAGCTAATAGGAAAATGTTTGAGCAAATCTGGGTCAAGTTAGTACAAATATTAGAATTTGTAACAATAATTTGGTTTAGACAAAATAAATTGGTTTAACTTGTTCGCTACCACAATTATATGGAATTTACGTTCGCATAGACCACCGACGCATATTTGCGTCAGCTGATCACATTGAAATAGACTTGCGTCGGTGTTCAATGTTATTAATCAGCGTATTTCTTAGCAACGGTCTATTTTAAAGCCCTGATTTTATCGTATCGGTCTAGAGGGATATCTGCCGCAAATGTGCGTCGCTTGGTCTGTGGATATGACGATTGGTTACGTCACACAACAGTTGGCAACATTGTTGTTTACATTGTGCATTCCGCGACATCTCAGAACAGATGTAAACGTTATAACCTTTGCAGTTTTGGCGAGTGGTGGAGTTTCTTTATTTGTTTGTGTAAAAGCTTGAAACAACCAAATTTACAACGACGCTTAAACGTGTGTCGCCTGGTCTATTGAAACGAAAATGTAGGTAATCTTTTTATCTAGATTTCATTAAATAAACTGACCGACGCATATATGCAGCGTTTTGAAAGTTGCTCCAAACGATAAATAAAAACAATATTTATTGCTTACTTATTCACTTAAGGTTAATATGAAGTCAATTCGTCCATTTAAACGATATTTCTCTTTTGGTCTGTTGACAATGTTATTCCTATATCACTTGGTCTGTAAGCAACGTCATGATCATTCCTTTTGGTCTGTAGGAGTGACCGGACCAACGCATATGTGCGTCGCTCGGTAGCGAACGTGTTAAACATTAATTATTTGTTATTTCCCAATTTGCAAAAATGCAAGCTCTAGCCTAATTAAGACATTTCCAAACAACATGTTTCGAGATGTATCCAAATACATTTTAAGTAGGGGCCTAGTTTTAATTTTTTATAAAAAAACTATAAATTTGCATAAAGATTATAATTAATTATCCTTATGTTCCACCAAAAACTATTAATAATAGTTTATTTGTGTAGGTAACTAGTGGGCGAAGTGGCACTTTGCTACACATAAGAGAAATGTTTACGCACGAGCCGTAGGCGAGTGTGGAAAGTTTCTCGAGTGCAGCAAAGGCAGTTTGCACTTGTGTTACACATTATATTTTCCCTAAAGTTACCATAAAACATATAGCCTAAATAATTAGTTGTTCAAACTCTGTTCAACACTAAATGAAATGATTCAGTTTGGATCAGTTTCTATGGTTGTCGATAATATGGAACCCACCCAAATATGGACAGTAAGTTTAGGCCTAGGACATAAAAATGTTCTTTCCATTTATGATAACCCAACCTAACATAACCGCCGCAAAGCGCTGTATAGGCTATCTGTAGCCTCCGGATAATACTTACCAAAGTACCGATTTGAACATTGAATAACTTAGTTAACAAACATAGCCTAGAATCTATCACAAAGGGGAAAGAATGTTCACCTCACTTAAGTTATGGTTAGACCAAGTAACATTATCACGGCAGTATGGTAATTGCCTCCAGGGTCCACAACTCTGGTCTCTCTTTCTCTCTCATCTGCAGTGATGTCGATGGCAATGTCGTCCAGAAAGGTTAGTCCTCTTAACTTATTGGTTCAAGACAATATTTAAAATAGAGACCAATTTGGGTTCAGGTCAAATTACAGCCTTTGCTCCAGGATCATCTATAAAATTAACATTGATGTCATCAGCAATGAATTATATAATCCAAGTCTAGTCTTACACCAAATACAAACAGCTCTAGAATATTTGACAGCACATAATTTTACGTCCTACACTCATTCCAATGAATATATTTCTTTAATACTTTCTTACTTATTACTTGACGACCATACAAAGTATAGTCTGATTTTTACCGGAGTGCGGCTGGAGCTCAGCCCTACCTGTGAGGGACCCGACTCACGCACGCACACTCACCACCGTCCTAATTGCCTGAAAGCCCCGATCCCCTATTCACTAAGTAGAAATAGGCCTATAAGATCTTTTGTATGATACCTCAAAATTGCAATTCATTTGATTTTAGATTATACAGTAAAATGGTTAGTGTTAATAAATTTGTTGTTTAATTCAATGAAAAATGAGTCCAAACACGAAATGATTATGACAAGTAGCTAGCTAATAAAAACGTGTTAAAATATTCGTAGCTTTTACACTTTGTAAGCAAAATATATATTGTTTGGTAGCTATCATTTTACTAAGCATTTTGAGCTGAAGTCAAAATCGTTACCACATTTTATAATAAACGTAAAATTAAAAAAAATTATAGTTCAATTTCCGTGAGCCAGCGATGACTCGTGCGGCAGGACAATGGTCCGTCCCACGTCCGTCCTAATCCCTTGCGTCTGTGTGTGTGAGGCCTGCGTGTGTGAGAGTATGGTCGACCCTTCAGCCAGCCGCTTTCCGTCAACAATCACACTATAGGTACCGTATTTTAAGCCAAGTATGAATGGAAATGAGTGTAGGATCAGGATGAGTGGCGCGATCTTGTAGTCTTGTTAGTGATTAAGGCCGACATTCCTTAGACACAGCTGTTAATTAATAGCCCATACAGCTAATGGCAACTAAGGGACCTACGGTTTATAGTGGAATCCGAACCACATTATTGCCTTGGTATATACGAATTGGTCTAATTATCAGGATAGTACTGCGGATAGTCGTAGTACTCACTCGTGCGGACGTTAATCCACACCAGGGAGTATCGCATCCACAGTGCATGCCTATAAATATCCACAATTCGTGACCTGCTAGTAGTTGGATTACAGGACGACGCCACCCGTCCCAGTCATATTGATTATTTCATTCAATAAACTTAGGTCTATATCAATTTTGGGTAATGTTAGGGTAAAACTTAACCTAACTAACGGAATGAAATATTCAAAATATTAAATAGTCTTGTATTAATATCTTTCATTTGAATGAATGTAGGACATAAACTAAAGTGCAGCCAAATATTTTTACATAAACAAATTTTTAAAGTTGACACTGGGTCAGTGGGAAAAAGAGACAATCCTAATAGCCTAGGGATAGTGCCTATTCAAACATTTGCTACAATATTGCTTGATGATCCAGAATTAGCCTACGAATAAGCTGTATCTTAGGTTCTTGTTGGTGACTTACCTAAGTTAGTGTCTGGTAGGACTACTTAATGTTATTAAGTTATCACGTTGATTACGTTTTTTACCAAATAAAAATTAACTTATTTCACATTATTCCTTAAAAACTATTGTTTGTAACACTCGAGTCATCTATTTTCCTTGTAAACAAGGAAAGAAATAAAAAAGATAAATATTTACAATATAAAAGTTTTTAGTCAATAAATGGCCAGCTTGAAGATGTCCGTCGAACCGTCGGTCGGAATTCGGAATCAAATATTGCGACTCGTGAGTTGAGGAACTGAACGATGAATTAGAACAACTCCTTTTCAAGAGTAGCTCCGAAGAACGGGTGCTTGTCGATATACTGGGACTATTTCAGTGTCGACAAAATGAAACTATTTCATTGTCGACAATATGGGATGTCGACAATTTGTGGTGTCGATCATTTGCGACGTCGGTTATTTGGGATGTCGGTTAAGTGGGAATATTCCAGTGTCAACAAACTTGGAATAATTCAGTTTCGATCAATTTCTACGGTTGTCGATATTATGGAACCCACCCATGGTAAGCACTATCTTTATACTCTTTGGTTTCGTTGCCGTGGAGACTGCACTTTGTTTACTTATTAATCGAATAATCCCAAGATTCAAGATTTCGATTCCCACCCAATGCAATTGTGAGGTTATGTGGTCCTGAGTAGTGGCGTACTTTATCTCTTTTGTGAAAATTATTTTAATGTGCGGGAGGTAAAATGACTTCTCCAAATTCTCTAGATTTGCAGCTTAACAAATATTGCAATGAACTAACCAGTGAAGACAAAAAACAGCGCAAAAGAGCTTTGGAAAATATAAAGAAAGAAGTCCTTTCTGCTGGAGTTGATGTTTCTGTTTCTTACAATAACATCCATAAACACATCATTAGATGTTTCAAAGACAATTCTGAAGCCGTAAGAGAATCTGCAGTTCTATTCGTAACGGATGTTGTAACATTATTACCAGCTAAAGAGGAATATATAAACTCTATAATGCCCATGATTGCAGAGAGGTTAAGTGGAGACATAGTGTTGGAGAACTCTGAGGAAGTAAGACTTTGTTTAGTGTTGTTAATGCAGCAAATAGTATCCAAATACACTGATAATTTGTTTGAATATATAAATGATTTCATAAATATATTGTCTAAGACAATAGTTGACCCCTATCCCAAGGTAAAGAAGGAAAGTTGTGACTGTGCGGCTGAATTAGCAAAATCTACACCACAATATTTTCATATGCAGTCTGAATCTCTCATAATTCCGTTAACCCAAACACTAACTCATCAGCAGTATCGAATTAGAGTTTCTGGTATCAAAGCGATTGGTAAGTGAAATATTTTGTAGCCTATTAAATGTGTTTACCGTAGCCTACAATTCTGGTGTTTTTATTACATTTCCCTAATCATAGGTTTTGATATGTTGGCAAGTCCTATATGCCCAGTACTTAATTATTTTGATTTCAACTGATGAATTTTCGTGGACTGTGGTATAGGGAACTAACTTAGCTTACAAGGGATAGGTCCACAATAACGTACCCGGTAACCCAAAAGGCAATATTTCAGTGTAGGCCTAGTTATGGCAAGAGCGAGCTGGTCTAAGAGTAGAGCGCAGTACTTTGGTCCTTGAGGTCCTGTGTGCAAATTCCGCCAAACCATTAATGGATTTTTTCTAGAAGTGATAATGCTCAAGCTAGTCCCTCTCCTCAAGTCCAGAGCTAAAAACTATTCTCTAAAGGATTTTTTGATAAGACATTTCCAAAATTTGTTGATTAATCCATATGCCAACTTTTTAAAACATATGTTTGTATGTATCAGTTTGTTTTAAATGTAGGTAGCCTACCGTACCTATTTATGTAGGCTATATTGAATTTGTGACCCTATTAATCCCTTTTGGGTAAAAGATGAAGACAGACACGGTAATAGGTAATGCCACAACCCGTAGGTAGGGCCTATAGCCTGAAGTAAGATAATGTGTAGGTTTATACAAAATATTTATTTTTTTTTATTTTATTTTACATACCAACGGACAACTCCATTTTTACATTCATACAACAAAACAAGATGGAAACAATAATTAATAACAATAATGTAGCATTCGCTCTGGCCTTAATGAAAATAGATGAATTTGATAGGCTAATAAAGAATGTGCATAATGATTCAAATAGAATAAATAACATTTACAATAAATAACTTATACAAATAACATAAATAATATACATAAGGCCTATACAGTGAAATAACAAAAATAACAATACAAATAGACTACTATTAATTAACAGAACACAGCCTTGCCAAGAAAGTCCCTGCATTTAGATATAATAGTATAGGCTACATAATTATTCAAATATATAAATACTAGCTGACCCGACAGACGTCGTCCTGTCCTAATGTGGTTTTATGTCAAATGCTCGTTCATTTTCAAGATGAGCTCGTTCGCATCGCTCTATCACGTCCTGGTTGAAGTTCGTTTACTACGCTTACTCACCTTTAGGTTGGAGCTCGTTCGCTGCGCTCACTTGCCTTCGGGTTTAGCTCGTTCGCTACGCTCACTCACATTTTGGTTGCAAATCATTTGTTGTCATTAATTAAAAAAAAATAATAGTGCTGCACCCTGTTGGTAAACCTATTAACTTTTTAATGCTATTGAACATCACAGAATCAAATTATTTAGTTGTATTGTATTAACCAGCTGTTAAGATTCTTTAATTCCATTTAAATATAAGTACTCATAAGGTTAACATGGGAAATTTCAGAGCCATTCATCTCGTAGTTTGTGCGGTGGTGCTGTCTAACAAACAAGTCTCTCGAACGGGTGCGTTGAGGAGTCCGAAATTGAATCTGCTGAAGCATATCAGGGCAGTCAAGTGAACCATTAAGGAGCTTGTGCAAGACAACGAGATCAGCGTTGGTATTTGTAACGATCATATGTTTGGTAGATAACAAAATCATATGTTTGGTATTTGTTTTCAGGGGCGGTGGTGCGCTGGGGAAACAACAAGTCTTTGAACGACGTGTGTGGACCGTTGGCAGAGCGACTGTTTGACCAACACCACGCTGCGAGGGCTGCCGTGGCAGATGTAGTGGGAACTTGGCTACTGGAGTTGCCGGACAGATACTCATACTTCCATAAACTCATCCCTCTAATGTTGACAAGGTAAAATAATTTAGTAAAATAAATTTTAATCTAAGGCCTGAGGGTTTCTGTCTGAGCTAGCTGTATGTGGTCAATGTTACTTGCTTAAGGACACAAATGAGATGATTACCAACCAATTTAATTTTGAACCCATTGAGGATCAGAGATTATTCATTGCCTTAACTTGTAAATTTATATCAAGTTCTCCCTCATCCTATTGGCTATACCTAAGCGCCATCCGATCCTTTAACAGACTCCCACCTGTTACAAAGTCTGGATAGCAGAAAGTGTATAATTACCACAGAAAACCTCTTCCATAAAACTCTACCATACCATAATGAATCTAGAAAGAGTTCAGGAATTAGTGGCATAGTGACTAAACTGATGCTGTCTATTCCCATCAAATAGTGGACTAGGGTAATGATAATATACTAATCACACCTAACTGTTAAGCTCACTAAATATTCGGACACCAAAAGCCCAAGTATAGAAGTTCTCAGCATCCCAGGCGGCAATACATGCTAGGCACAGCTTACAACCATTTTTGTTGAGTTATATTCATATTTAAATAAGGCCTAGTTATTTGTTTTCATATTGTTATATAAGTACCACAAAAATATATACGTCTAATAACACTTGCAATAATATATTGTCCAATCGAAATCGATCACCACTTACCATCTTTTACATGTATTTATAGTCTTATAAGTCAACAGTATAAGTGTAAATATATTATTTCAAGTGTTATTCGACGTATATATTTTTGTATTTTTCAGTTAATTTAATAACACGTACGATGCTGATCAAGAAGTTATTCATAAGTACAAACTAAAGTCAATATATTATTACACAATGAACATTTTGTTTTCAGCTTTAACATTTAATTTTTAACATCTAGATTAATTTTGATTTGTATTAGGCCTACTTTCATAACATTTGAAATTAATTTTTGCAGTCTGTCAGAAGAGATTACAGAACAGCGTAGCAAAGCAGAAGAGCTTTGGAGCAAAGTGGGAATTCAGTTTGTGCAGGAAAATGAAAATGACCTCAAGGACAAAATAGACTATTTGCAAGAAACTTTAGCCCATTATCCACCAAACGGTTTGTTTATTTATAAACTTGTATCCTAGGCTGTATTGATACTTAATAGTCAATAAGTATTAGTAGTGGTATCATATGAAATTGGCAATATTATTAATGTAAACAAATCAAAGCTAAACAAACTTACATAATGTAGCCTTCGGATGAAACACATTATTTTTCACAATTAAGTAGACAATCTATAAACTAATACCCCCGCCGCAGCAAACCTGCAGACTAAGCAAATTTCCATTTGCCTGATTGGATTTACACTAAAATGTCTCCTTAAAAATATTACATTTATTCCCTATTTAAATAGCATTAGTTTAACGAGTACTTAGGTTTGCTGCAACAGGGAGGGTGGTAAAAAAGTGTTTTTTTGTACAATGTTAATAGTTTAGTATGAAATGAATGCATTTTCCAAATTTGATCAAAATATGCTCATAAACAAGCAAACTACAACAGTTTACCATTTTTCTCCATAAGAATAACATGGGAATTTTAAATTTACAATTTTTTTAATTTTCTCCGTAGCCATTAGGCGCATGATAACACTTCAATATACTAAATTATTTGTTTTTTTAAGCTCTACAAAATGGTTTGGAAAGAAGTTGCTAAATTTTATGTTTTTAGGGTAAAAAATGGGAAAAACCAATTTTTACCCCATAAAACCCCCCATAAACCCCTCTTCCCATAGTCCGATCATGCTGGTTTGCGAACTCGTTCGAATAAACGTAGGTTTACACATTTGTATTTTGCTCGAGTTATCGCGCTAACGGACACATATATAAATATATGAATTCGAACGGATGGTGTTTTTGGCCTCTAGGGACCTCAAAACGAAAAAGTAAATTGGTCCCGGGTCCAGGTCTTACCATGAGTACTACGGTAATAGCTTATTCCCTATA